CTCCACCCGGCCGGGGGTCTCGGGGGTCTCCCGGACGGATCAGTGCGGCGGGGCCCGCGGTCTCTTCCGCGCCACCCCTGGCGCCTTTCGCGCCCAGGCCACTCGGGGGCCCCCCGGGGCGCGCGGCATGGCGGAGTCTAGATTCAGGGGGGTCCTGGACTGACTGTGTGTCTCACGATCTCTCCGTCCCAGCCCCTTAAAGTCGGCGCCATGGCCCCCTTTAGCCCCGGTGCGGTCCGCCCGCTTGCCGGCGCCGGTTTCCATGGCGAGCTCCCTGGGCGCCCAAGCGATGGCAGACAAAGGCACAGGGAAGGGGGGCGGGAGAGGTGCGGGGGGGGCGCCCTCCCCCTCCTCTTTCTCTTTTCTCCTTGTTCCTCCCTCTGCCCACTCGGACTTTGCCCACTCTACCCACGGAAGTGGGGGTTGGGGTCTCCGCGACCCGGACGGGGGCGCAGAGCCCGTGGAAAAGATTAACTTGAAGCGCACTGAGACAGGGTTTGCTGTTGGTGGGTTGTTTCCTTCTACCAACCACACAGACTTAGGGGATAGTCGTTCCTCCATTTCTCAGATGGGGAAACTGAGGCCCCAGCAGCCAAAAGGCAGACAGGTCCCAAAAGGCAGAATTCCATTTATTTATTCCCAGCCTTGAACATTCTCTGGTGACCATTGAGAGACGGACAGATCCAGACAATCACGGTTAACAGGCTCCTTTGTGTTGGGAAGGGGTCACCTGGAGTTTGCTCCTTCCCCCATCTCTCTGTCTCTCCTCTCTGTCGCCTCTCTTCTCTGTCATGTGTGATACTGGGGCTTGAGCTCAGGGCCTGGGTACGTCCCCAAGCATTTTCACTCAAGGCTGGTGCTCCACGGTCTGAGCCACAGCTCCACTTCTAGTTCTCTGGTGATTTATAGGAGCTAAGAGTCTCACTCCTGCCCTGGCCGGCTTTGAGCTATGATCCTGAGATCTCAGCCTCCTGAATAGCTGGGATTACAGGTGTGAGCCACCAGCACCTGGCTGCAGCCTCTCCTTTTATTGCCAGTGAGCCTTTCCAGGCCTCGGGCTCCTGGCTCTTCCCCTTCCTGTGCCTTTGTTCTGATTAGTCACAATATTTGTCTAACATTGACTCATGCTTTCAGACTGAGTTCCATACTTGCAAAGATTTCCCCCCCATGGTAACAGTGTGGAAGTTCTACAGGCTTAGGCTCTTGCTTCCAGCCTCAGTTTCCCAACCTGGCAGTAAGCACAGTGCTTGCTCCTGTCCTAGAGGGACAACAGCCTGGCTGCTGGTGACAAATGTGACAACAGCATAGGACAGTAAGCGGAAACAGAACGCCGAGTGGCTCACACATGTCATCCTAGCTACTCAGGACGCTGAGATCTGAGGATCATGGTTCAAAGACAGCCTGGGAAGACAAGTCCCTGAGATTCTTATCTCCAATTAACTAGCAAAAAACTGGAAGGGGAGGTGTGGCTTAAAGTGGCAGAGTGCCAGGTGTGAGTGGAAAAAGCCAAGTGAGAGCACAAGGCCCTGAGTTCAAGCCCCAGTACCACCACAAAAAAAGAGGAGGGGTGGGCAGTGGCGACTGTGTAGAGGACTTAGGCTTCCTGGGCCCAAGGCCACCATCACCTGTGTTCCATGACAGGAGCAACTAACTGCTGGGGACAATGGGGACCGGTGCTGCAGTGGGGCTCTAGAGGCCTGATCAGCCAGTTTATTAGGCCCAACACCCCTCTCCCCATCACCCAGGACAAGGAAGCTCAAGTCTGCCAGTGTCACAGCAGCCTGGGCAGCTGTTGGGAATGTTGGTGGTGTAAGAGGCCACAAACGGCCTCAGGGAAGAAGTGGAGGAAGAGGAGAATGTAGCAATCACTCCCCCCCACCCCATTCCTAGCGTGGTGGGGGAGGGGGGTCTCCCATGGTTTCCTGACTCTGGGGCCCTAGGGAGAGAATGGGAAGCAGCAGGATCCCATGCGGGCTGCTCTTTCCTTTCAGTTCCCCAGGAGTGGGGGTGAGGCGGGTGGACCTGATAGGCCCATGGCCCAGCTGAAAGGCCTGGCTGTCAGCAGGGGCAGGAGGAAGCCAGGGGTGGCTTTAGAGCTGAGCAGGGCAGTTGAGTATGGCAAGTGCCACACAGGCTCTGCTCAGCGCCCAGTACAGTTCTGAGAAGCAGGACCTGCGCATGAACCACTTGCACAAAAGGGGCAACTGAGGCACCAAAACTAGATTCTCTCTGCTGGGCACTGGTGGCTCACGCCTGTAGTCCTAGCTACTCAAGAGGCTGAGATCTGAGGATCATGGTTCAAAGCCAACCCAGGCAGGAAAATCTGTGAGACTCTTGTCTCCAATAAACCACTCAGAAAACCAGAAGTGGCGCTGTGGCTCAAGTGGTAGAGCACTAGTCTTGAGCTGAAGAGCTCAGGGACAGTGCCCAGGCCCAGAGTTCAAGCCCCACGACTACCACCATCACTATCAACAACAAAAAGTCATTGTTTGTTTGTTTTAGTGTATTTACCTTGCAATGTAACCACCTTGACTATTTTGGTCTAGATCCATCCACCACCACAAAAGAAACAGGGACCAGGCTGCAGTCATGAGCAGGATGAGGCCCTGCTACACTGTCAGTTGGAAGGACCCTCAGGCTGCCATGCTCAGGGAGAGAAGCTGACTCAAAAGGCCACGTAGTGTTTGTCTCCACTGATAGAAAATGTCCAGAGATGCAACAGGAAGTGGACTGGCGAGGGCCAGGAGCTGGGGAGGGGAAAGTGCCTACTCATGGCAATGGTGCTTCCTTTTGAGATGACTGAATGTTCTAGAATTAGAACACTGACCAAGATCTTGCTTGCATACATATGCATGACAAATCACCGAAGTAGGGTTATTGTCCCATTAAATCTGTCCTCAGCTAGGCTTAGTGGCTCGGGTCCTTAATCCCAGGAACTGATTGCTGAAGATTACAGTTCAAAACTGGCCTGGGCAAGAATGTCAGTGAGATTTTTTTTTTTTTTCTCTTGGGTCCAGTCGCGAGCCTGAACTCTGGGCCTGGGCGCTGTCCCTCAGCTCTTCAGCTCAAGGCTAGCACTCTACCACTTGAGCCACAGCGCCACTTCCGGCTTTTTTTCTGCTTATGTGGTGCTGAGGAATTGAACCCAGGGCCCCATGCATGCGAGGCAAGCACTCTACCACTGAGCCAACTTCCCAGTCTTTTTTTTTTTTTGGTCAGTCGTGGGGATTGAACTCTGGGCCTGGGTGCTGTCCCTCAGCTCTTCAGCTCAAGGCTAGCGCTCTACCACTTGAGCCACACTATCATTTTCAGTTTTCTGGTGGTTAATTGGAGATAAGAGTCTCATGGAGGAAGTGGCGCTGTGGCTCAAGTGGTAGAACACTTGTGTGGAGAGCTGTGGGAGCCGCGACCAAAGACGGCTGCAAAAGCAAAAATGGCAGGGCCGCGTGGTGCGGCTGCGACCTAAGATGGCACGGGCTCCCGCCTTCCGTCTTCCCCGTGACGAGTGCTCTCTGTAAAAAACAACTCCTTATATGGCTATGACTTGGCTCCTAGTTTGCTTCCGTGTTTGCAGCCCTATCAGTATATGCCACATGGCGCTTCAGGATTGGCCATCCAGGAGGCTTATAACCGGAGCGTGGGGGCGGATGGGAAGGAGAAACAAGGAGAAACAAGGAGAAGCAGGAGAAACAGGAAGAAGAAGGAAGAAGCGGGCAGGAGAGAAGTAGGAGGGAAGGAGAGAAGCAGGAGAAGCAGGAAGAAGAAGGAAGAAGCGGGCAGGAGAGAAGTAGGAGAAAAGAAGCTGTAAACAAGGTCCTGAATAAACCGTCTGAAAGAAGGATCTGTTGTCGCGTCATCCTTGCGGGTCGAGGCGGTCGTGACACACTTGCTTTGAGCTGAAGAGCTGAAGGACAGTGTCCAGGCCCAGAGTTCAAGCCCCATGAATGGCCAAAAAAAACCAAAACCAAAAACCCCCAACTATATCATTATGGGGCTGGGAAGGTGGCTCAGTGGTAGAGTGCTTGCCTTGCATGCATAAGGCCTTGGGTTCAATTCCTCAGCACCACATAAGCAGAAAAAGCCAGAAATGGTGCTATGGCTCAAGAGGTAAAGTGCTAGCCTTGAGCTGAAGAGCTGAGGGACAGTGCCCAGACTCAGAGTTCAGGCCCCATGACCGACAAAAAAAAAAAGTCTCATGGAGTTTCCTGCCTGGGCTGACTTTGAAGTGTGACCCTTAGATCTCAGCCTCCTGAGTAGCTAGGATTACAGGTGAGAACCACTGGCACCCAGCCTGATCCCTGATCTTCAGATCTTAGTCTCCTGAGTTCTAGGATTACAGGTGTGAACCGCTGGAGCCAGGGGACAGGTGGTTCTTGTAATGGGCCCTGGCCTGGCCTCCACGCATTCCCACACACTTGGAGCATCCCAGTTGTGTTTGCCACACATGCTCCTTGGCAGAGAGACTTGGCAGAGAGTCCCTTGGGAGCAAAGTCACCTTTGATGGACATCCTTACAGGAAAAGTTGGAATCCTCAAGAGCAAAGCTAAACACATTGATGTCGTTAGGTCACAGGGCTCTGTGACCCTATGTGCCCTATGGGGTTATATTACCCCCTCCCACCCACCCTGTCTCCAGCAAAGTGTGTTTCTGGAGGCTTGGGGACTTGGCAGTGGTAAGGACCAATATCAGGGAGTGTGGCACACTGAGCCCTTCTCCCAGGACCCCTTGCATGGGCTGGGTGGGGACTGCTGGTGTTGCTTATTTTCTGGAGATCCAGACTCTGGGGTGCAGTCCTGACCCCCATACTTTCCACATTGTCCAAGCTGGAAGGAGGAAGTGGGGACACCCAACCTGGCCATGGGGCAACTGCAACTGCCATCCACACTGCTATAAAAGGGGAGAGGCAGTGGCGTTCTGGTTCCTGACCATGGCTCCAAGCCACCCAGCCTCCAGCCCTGCGCTTGCTTCCATCCTGCTGGCTCTGCTGTTAGGTGGTGAGTGGGGCCAAGTCCCCATCAGCCGACTGGGCACGGGCGTGTGTGTGTGTGTGTGTGTGTGTGTGTGTGTGTGTACGTGCCACTGAGGTCCGGCCTGGCATAGCTGGGAGAGCATGAGAGGACCCCTGAGTGCCTGGCTGATGCCTGAGGCAGGAGGGGAGGAAAGGGAAGCCATGGAGGGATTGACTCAGTTTCTCTTCTGTGAAATGGGTCTTTTGTTGGCTAGATTGTTTCTTCTCTTTCTTTTCCTTTTTCTCCTTTCTTTCTTTCTTTCATCTTGTTGGTCGTGGGGCTTGAACTCAGGGCCTGGTTGCTTGTCCCTGACCTCTTTTGCTCAAGGCTAGCGCTCTGCTACTTTGAGCCACATCTCCACTGCTGGTTTTTGAGTGGTTAATTGGAAATGAGAGCCTCAGGGGGGACTTTCCTGCTCCAGGCTGGCTTTGAACAGTGACCCTCAGATCTCAGCCTCCTGAGTAGCTAGAATCATAGTCATGAGCCACTGGCACCCAGCTAGATGTTTTTTGTTTTTTGTTTTTCTGTTCTTAGAAATCCCTTTTACATTCAGATCTGGAAGCCAGAACTTTTTAAAAAAAAAAAAACAGTATTAGTTTGGCTGAGAATGTGGCTTACCTAGCATTCATTAGGCTCTGGGTTTAATTCCTCAGTACCATATAAGCAGAAAAAGTGGTGCTATGGCTCAAGTGCTAGAGAGCTAGCCTTGAGCACAGAGAGGCTCAGGGACAGAGCCCAGGCCCTGAGTTCAAGCCCCACAACCACCAACACCAACAACAAAACAGTATTAGCCCTTAAATTCAGGTCCTCATGTTCTTGCTTAGTAATTTTTGCTCAAGACTGATGCTCTAGCACTTGAGCCACACCTCCACTTCTATTTTTTGTTTGTTTGTTAATTGGAGATAGGAATCTCTCAGATTTGTCTGCCTAGGCTACCTTCAAATCAAAATTCTCAGGTCTTAGCTTCCTGAGTAGCTAGGCGTAAACCACCGGGACCCATGACCAAACCTTTAGAAATAATCATTGCACTCCAGGTATGGGTAGCACAAATCTTGATTCCCAGTGGAGACAGGAAGATTGCAAGATTGAGGCCAGCCTGGGCTAAATAGTGAGACCCTGTCTTAAAACAATAATGACAGAACACAAAAATCAAGTGCTTGGATTTGGGAAGGTGGCTCAGTGGTAGAGTGTTTGCTTGCCTTGCATGCATAAGGCCCTGGGTTCAATTCCTCAGCACCACATAAGAAGAAAAAGCCAGAAGTAGTGCTGTGGCTCAAGTGGTAGAGTGCTAGCCTTGAGCTGAAGAGCTGAGGGACAGCGCCCAGGCCCAGAGTTAGACCCCACGACCGACAAACAAACAAAATACCCAAGTGCCTGTCAGGTGCTGGTGGCTCATACCTGTAATCCTAGCTACTCAAGAGCTTAGATTGAAAATCCTGGTTCAAAGCCAGCCCAAGAAGGAAAGTCTGTGAGTTTTGTTTTTTTTTTTTCCTTGTTGGTCATGGGGCTTGAACTCTGGGCCTGGGCGCTGTCCCTTAGCTCTTCAGCTCAAGGCAAGTGCCTCCATTTGAGCCACAGCACCACTTTTGGTTTTCTGGTAGTTAATTGGAGATAAGAGTCTCATAGACATAGACCTCCTCCTCCTCCTCCTCCTCCTCCTCCTCCTCCTCTTCCT